CCCTCTGCCTCTGTCTCTCTCTCTGTCTCTCATGAATAAATAAATAAAATCTTTAAAAAAAAAAAAAAACAAAGTGAATTGGGGTGCCTGGGCTCAGTCATTAAGCATCTGCATTCGGCTCAGGTCGTGATCCTAGGATCCTGGGATCAAGCCCCTCATCAGGGAGCCTGCTTCTCCCTCTCCCACTCCCCCTGCTTGTATTCCCTCTCTCACTGTCTCTCTCTCTGTCAAATAAATAAATAAAATCTGCAAAAACAAAAAACAAAGTGAATTTATGAAAATGATCAGATGATATGGTTGTAGGCCTGAAAAAAAAAATCACCTGAAGCCACTCCCCAAAAAGTAAGAGAACCCAGTAAAATTATCAGGTTTAAGAAAAACAACAAACAAACAAACAAAAATAGGGGCGCCTGGCTGGCTCAGTTGGTTAAGCGTCTATCTTTGGCTTGGGTCATGATCTTAGGATCGTGGGATCAAGCCTCACATCGGGCTCCTTCTCAGCAGGGAGCCTGCTTCTCCCTCTCCCTCTGCCACTCCCCCTGCCTGTGCTCTCTCACTCTTTCTGTCAAATAAATAAATGAATAATATTGAAAAAATAAAAAAACAAAAAACTCCAAACAAAAAACTGAAAAGACAACCCAATGAAAAAATAGGCAAAGGATCTGAATAGACACTTCTACAAAGAAGATATACAAATGGCCAATAAGCACATGAAAAGATGCTCAACATCATTATTCATTAGGGCAATACAAATCAAAAATCACAGTAAGGTATCATTTTACATCTACTAAGATGGCTATAAAAATAATCAAGCATTGACAATGACATGGTGAAATTGGAACACTATACATTGCTGGTGGGGCTAAAATGGTACAGCTACTATGTAAAACAATTTGGCAGTCCCTCAAAATGTTAAACATAGAATTAACATATACTCAGTAATTCTATTCCTAGATATATACTAAAAGAATTAAAAACAGGGACTCAGGGCGCCTGGGTGGCTCAGTTGGTTGGGCGACTGCCTTCGGCTCAGGTCATGATCCCAGAGTCCTGGGATCGAGTCCCGCATCGGGCTCCCGGCTCGGCAGGGAGCCTGCTTCTCCCTCTGACCCTATCCCCTCTCATGCTGTTTCTCTCTCTCTCTCAAATAAATAAATAAATAAAATCTAAAATAAATAAATAAATAAATAAATAAATTTAAAAAAATAAAAACAGGGACTCAAACAGATCTCATATACTGATGTCCATAGTAGTTTTATTCACAATAGCCAAAGTAAAAAAGACCCAAATGTCCACCAACAGATAAATAAACAAAATGCGCTATAAATACACAATGGAATATTATTCAGCCATGAACAGGAATGAAGTCCTGATATCCCTACAACATGAAATATTTGCTAAGTGAAATAAGTTGAAAACATTGCTAAGTGAAATAAGCCACACACAAAAGGACAAATAATGTTGTGATACCATTTAAAATATCTAGAACAGATAAGTCCATAAAGACAAAGTAGATTCCATTTAAAATACCTAGAACAGGTAAATCCATAGAGACAAAGTAGATTAGAGATTACCAAGGACTGGAGGGGAAAAGTAAATGGGGATTTACTGCTAAACAGGTACAAAGTTTCTGTTTGGGGTGATGAAAAAATTTTGGAAATAGAACTAACGGTTACACAATATTGTGAAAGCAATTAATGCTACCTAACTGTACACTTAAAAATGGTTAAAATGAAATATAGAAAAAAAGGTTCACTCTTTTCTACAGTAACCTACCCCAAAGCATGGAACCTCTGTGAAAAAAATGTGTCTGTCAATCCCTCACACACAAAGTGAAAAGAGCTTCTGTAAGAGGAAGAATCTTGGGATAAACCTTAGTGGAATTATGGATATGCAGTCAAGAGTTCAAGTTATCCCATGTGCCAAGCACAGTGCCTGTCACATAGTAAGTTTCAATAAACATTTGTCCAGAGAAGGTGGAAGGGAGGGAGTTGGGACAGGAAGGCTGGGAAAAAAAATGGAGGAAGGAAGGAAGGTCAGCTTGAGGAAGCAAGTTATCACTATGACTATAAGAGATTAGAATAATGAAATAACCCAGTCAGTTTTAGCTGTCATGTATGTGTAGAACCTGAGTTACTAAGTAACCTGGATTTTGACACAGGGAAAAAATACATATTAAAAATTATTTTTCACAGTTTTCTCACACACTATAAGATGAAAAATATAATGAAAAAAAAATCTCATTTATAACAGCAATAACATAGATGAAATTACCTAGAAATAAACTTAATAAGAAATGTTTATCATCTATAAAGTTTAAAACTCTTATTTATTTTTTAAAGATTTTATTTATTTATTTGACAGAGAGAGAGACAGCAAGAGAGGGAACACAAGCAGGGGGAAAGGGAGAAGAGGCCTCCCTATGAACAGGGAGGCTGATGCAGGGCTCAATCCCAGAACCCTGGGATCACTAACCAAGCCGAAGGCAGACGCTTAACAACTGAGCCACCCAGGCGTCCCACGTTTAATACTCTTTAAAAAGATGGACATAAGACCTGAATAAACAGAAAAATATTCTTGCTATTAGCAAGGAAAGACTCAACAATGTAAGGATTTTGATTCTCCCTACATTAAACTTAATAGGATCACAAATTAAAAAATCAAAAAATCTTTTTTGAACTTGATAAAATGTTCATCTAGAAGAACATTAGAGAAAACTTAGTAAAACTCCTGAAGAGTAACAAGCGGGGACCCAGTCACACCATATATTAATTATAACATTTATTATAACAGTACACTAATGGCTCAAGGATCAAAAAAAGGCCCAAAAGCCAGCCAAGAATATATGGTACTTTAATATGATAAAAGAAAAATTTTAAATCATTAATGAAAAGACAACTTAAACTGGCAGGTGGATAATGGGCTAACTCATCTGAGAAAGCAAAGCTGGATTCCTACCTCATGTGTTATACCAAGTTAGATTCAAAAGTTTCAATTTAAAAAAGAAAAAATCCAAAAAATATTAGAGAAACAATGGATAAACTGCTTTATAATCTTAGAGTAGGGAGGGCCTTTTTGTAAGACATAAAACAAAAACTCATATTTGTCATATATGATAAAATAAGGGCTGATTCAGGGTTCCTGGGTGGCTCGGTCAGCTCAGGTCATGATCCCAGGGTCATGGGTTGGAGCCCAGCATTGGGCTCCCTGCTCAGCGGGGAGCCCGCTTCTCCCTATCCTGTTTCCACTCCCCTTGCTTGTGCTCTTTCTGTCAAGTAAAGAAATAAAATCTAAAAAAAAATAAATAAATAAGGGCTGATTCTCTTAGATATAAAGTATATACTTTTCTTAGAATTAAAAATCAGTTTTCATTGACAAATTAAAAAATAGTTTAAAAAATACAGTAAAAAATCCACAGACAACAACAAGCGTTGACAAGGATGTAGAGAAATTGGAACCTATGTGCACTGCTGGTGGAAATGCAAAATGGAGTAGCCACTATGGAAAACAGGTATGTACACAGCCTTAAACAGGATCTTGGTTTTAGAAAAGTAATTTTATGCATGCACACACAAAAAAATCTAGATAAGTATTATCTCTGTAGTGAGGGGTACCTTCTTTGTCACCTTATGTTTTGTTATGCTTGTATTATTTTAAACAGTAGAAGCTAACATTTATTGAGAATTTCTAGAAGTCAACCTGATTATGCACTTTATTCGTACTTAACCTTACATTTAATTTTTATAACCACTATAAAAGTACAATTAACTTCATTATAAGATAAGAAAACAGCCACAGAAAGTGATGGAACCAGAATTCATGTGCATATAACTATTTTTTAAAACAGCTTTATTGAGGGGCACCTGGGGGCTCAGTTGGTTAAGCGTATGCCTTTGGCTCAGGTCATGATCCTGGGGTCCTGGGACTGAGCCCCATACTGGGCTGCCTGATCAGCGGGGAGTCTGCTTCTCCCTCTCCCTCTGCTCCTCCCCACTGTTCGTGCTTGCTCTCTGGCTTGCTCTCTCTCAAGTAAGTAAATAAAATCTTAAAAAAAAAAAAAAAAAAGGCTTTGTTAAGGTATAATTTACATACCATAAAATGTACTTATTTTAAGCATACAATTCAGTAATTTTTAGTAAATTTAGAATTGTATGACCATTGCCACACTCTAATTTTAAAACATTGCCATTGTCCCCCAAAAAAATCTCATGCCCATTTGCAATCATTATTCTCAGTCAGCCTCAGGCAACTACCATTCTATCTTCTGTCTCTGGATTTGCCTTTTCCAAACATTTCATACAAATAGAATCATATTGTATATGGGGGGGGTTCTTGTCTGTTTTCTTTCACTTAGAATATTTTTGAGTTCACCCATTTTGTAGCATGTGTCAGACCTTCATTCCTTTTTATTGTCAAGTAGTATTCCATCATATAGATACATCATACTTTATTCTATTACCAGTTGATGGAGATCTGGGTTGTTTCATTTTGGGCTACTGTGAATAACGCTGCTATGAATATTCATGTACAGTTTGTGTACAGACATATGTTTTCATTTCTCTTGAGTAGATCCCTAGGAGTAGAACTGCTGGGTCATATAGTGCATTTAACTTTTTAAGAACCTGCCAAACTGTTTTCCAAAGTAGTTGCATCATTTTACATTCCCATCAGCAATGAGTGTTTTTCCACATCCTCACCAACACTATGGCCTACCATTTTTATAAGCAAAAATGTAAAGGTAAATATTTTTAAGAGCCTGAGAACACTCACACCTATCATTTTTTGCCATGCTGTACTTCCTAAATGTAACTGCCACCTCTTAAACATCTACCCACTCCACGACATAAATGAAGATTGAATAAAATCTGAATGTGTTCAATACATAAACTATACATTTACATGAACTGCTCTTACATAAAATTCTACTTCAAATCTTAAAAAAAAGATTATATATGAACACACAGTACATACATAATACCACTTAGAAATAGCATACATACCTAATTTTAGTTCAATTGCTGTGTTGGTGTTACATTTGTACTCTGCCAGTTTCTTCTCCACTGCACTCTTGTACTCAACCAAAAATTTCTCCATAGCACCAAATCCTAAGGGAAAGTTTTTAAAAGGTCTTGTTGGAAATGGTTTAAATAGTCAAACCTACAGAGGGTTCTTATTAGAAGTGGAATAAAAGGAAGATTTAAAACATGCTAATAGGGGCGCCTGGGTGGCTCAGTTGGTTAAGTGACTGCCTTCGGCTCAGGTCATGGTTCTAGGGTCCTGGGATCAAGCCCCACATCGGGCTCCCCGCTTGGTGGGAAGCCTGCTTCTCCCCCTCCCATTCCCCCTGCTTGTGTTCCCTCCCTCACTGTCTCCCTCTGTCAAACAAATAAATAAATCTGCTAATAGATCATAAAAGCGCAGGTCATTCTCCATATAATCCTAAAATAAATATACTGAGTATGACTGCCTCATTATAAAACAGGAAAAACATCATTTTTGTCAGAGGCTTATGAACTGGGCTTGCTTTACATAAATAAATAAATCTGAAAATTAACATAACTACTGACATTTCTTTATATTTAATACTAATAAATATTACCTGCTAGGATTTATACCTAAGCAGTTTTTTAAAATATAAAAAATGTGCCACTGCTCCACCAAGACACGAGGTAAGAATATTCTTTGATAATTACAATAGCATTTCATCTCTACTACTGGAAAAATTCTAGCCAGAGTACTTCAGATCAACTATTTAAAAACCATCAACTGAAAATGCATAGATTATCTCAGAAAGGACACACAAGAAACTGGTAATCGTGGTTATCTCTTAAGATGAGAGAGAAGGAGTTAGGAAAGAAAATTTCCACTGTATTAAAAAAAAAGTTTTTTTAACCATATGTGTACCAAGTCATAAACTATGGGCTACAAATTAAAAATGGAAGCAATCCAGATAAACTTTCAAGCAAAGATGACAATCTCCTGACAAAATGAACATAAAAATCATAAAAATTCAGGAAAAAAGAAGTCATGAGCAGAAACAAAAGAAAGGTACAATGACATGCCATAAACTTTAACAAGTGGTTAAAACATACATACACAGAAAATAGGGAACATCTGAGGCAGTATAGATTGTCTGTTGTCAGAATTCCTGGAATGAAATCCAGGCTTCACCACTTACTTACCAGGTCTGTGAACTAGAACTAGAGCACATTACTTGACTCCTCTGACCCTAATCTCCTAATCTATACAATTGAGATAAAAGAACCCATTTCAAGGAATTATATATACTGTAAGCAACAAAATTTAACTTGTGAAATCATACATTGGCTTAATCCCCACAAATCTATTATACAAGTAAATAGTATATCAGCCCCATTTAATATTAAAACGCTCAGGCTTAGAAAGAGGCTTAATTGCTTAAGTGCACCCAACTACTGAGTGGTGAGGCAGAGATTCAAATTTAGGTGTAATTCTTACTATATGTACACCGTACACAATACGTATGTTCCCCCTCTTTTATAGTACCAGTGTAGTCCCAAGATCCCAGAGTCACTATCTGGTAGAAGAATCCTTTAAATATCTGTAGAGCTCACGAGATAGCCTGTCTATCCAGCATATCCATAAAAGTGTAGTAAGACTACTACGAAGGCACTGGGAAAAGATAAAAGTAGAAACTGTCCATCACTTCAAAAGATATGTAACTGGAAAAAAGTATATACTCACACCAAAAACAGTCTTAATACACGTACAAAATAGCAATTATTAGTTATTAAATGCTGCAAACTGAAGAGACCAAAAAAAAGAATAGAATGAACATGAAAATTATAGTATAAAATACTATGAGAAGCTTAGATGAAGGAAGAATGCAAGAACACTCTTTCTCAAAGGAATTCTAAATCGATCCTAGAAATACCAAAGCGCGAGAGATTAAAAAGACGACTGCGAAGTCAAGGTTCAAGTGAGAGCCCTAGTGCAAGGCAAGGCAGCAATGCGCCAGCTCAGAAGTTCACTGTAGTGGATGGTGGAGGGAGACCTGGAAGAGGAGGACGATCTGCACATTAAAATCAGCTGGCGGGAACAGAACTAAACTACTGCGGCTGAGGCAGTAGTGCAAAAAAAAGAACGAGAAGATAAACAGGCCTCAAGGCATCTGGCACCTAAGAAGCCAAATCGCGACTCTTTCCCAGGGCTTCTTGGGCCCTCCGCAGGGGCCGAGTTCTTCGCAGAAGGCACAGAACCCCGAGTAGTTGGGGGCGGGGGCACGAACCTCGGCCAACAGGGAGCTGGGCGGAGAGTTTCGTGCTTTCAGGCTGAAGCAAGCCTTCTGGAACCCAGGCCGGAGCCGGAAAGTTCCAGGCGGGCACTGTCACCACGGTCTCGGCGTTCTTTCCCAAACCTACCCGCCCCCTCCCCTTGGTAAACTTTTCCCGGGAACTTACCCGCCATTTCCGAGCTGCGAGCACCCGCGGCTGAGGAAGGACGAATCAACCCGCGCGCTCCCTGGCCGGAAGTGAGCTCATTCTCTGACGCATTTCCCCCGCCCACCTCTGGCAGGTCTCTAGCCAATGAGAGGAGGGGATTCGAGGCGCCGGGAGGTGGAAGCACCTCCAGGGGCGGGGCTGACGCCGCGGGGAATGCTCCGACCGTTGCCTAGCCACAGCGACTGCAGTCAGCCGCTTTGCAGGCCCGAAGCCGGGGAGCAGGCCGCGTAAGGGGCCGTCTATGTTAAGATGCTCGCTGGCTCACCCGTGGAGAGTTTCTTTGGGATTGGATTTGAATGATATAAATACCGTAAAGCTGTTTTCTATTCCGCCAGCGATGTTTCGGAGACTGGTAGAAAAGCGTTCCCCTTGGCCTGCACAAACACCTGAGGCCTAGGTTTATGTCGGTAAAATGTAGGGATTGAGTTGCAGTTGCAGGAGAAATTTACGCTTATTTTGTTTCTACTTTTGCAGTAAATTCTTATTTTTTCTTTTGTCATGTTTTTAAGCAGTATACAGTGTAATACTTGGGTACTCCGCTTTCACTTTTAGGATTACTAGGCAACCATTGGTGCGCGGAAATTACTACCTAGTAATACCTCAAGTGGCCTGATCTGTCCTACATGTCTCAAGTTCTAGTGGCCTGAACCACATCCCAGGATGCTTCCTGATTTGGGTCTTAGGGCTTGTTGGTAATTAATAATTGTTGAAACTTTTTTGTCCCAGAAGTGAAGGCATTATTTGGGTATCCATAAATATTCTCACAACATTGTCTATACCCTAAAATGCCTTGTCTCAGCAAATGTTGGTTAATAGGCTTTACAGTGCTATTGCTAGAGCTAAAATGGACGCTTGGAATGAGAGTCCAGAACGAACACTTCCCCTCATTTTAGAAATAAGGATATTAAAGCCCAGAAAAGAGAAATTGTCCAAGGTCACACTCAGTATACAGCCTATGTAAGAGTTCATTTCTCCAGATACTCAGCCCAGTATTTGTTCAGCTGCATGGAGCTGGCCCTCTTGAAGATAAAGATCAGAAAAGGTACGGAGAATGCTCAGCTCTTTCTTTACACCTTAATGAAGCACAAGAAATTACCATCCTAATGTTAAGAAGAAAACTGAAATCTGCTATTAATGACATTATGTATCAAAAAAGGAAAACGATCTTTTTTTTAATAATCGTTTTTTTTCCAAAATGGCAAGACTTGTTTCTTTACAAAACCACCTTATTTGTAGGTTGGCCAATAGCTGAGAAGCAATTATCCTTATAATAAGAAAGTAAGCAAATCTGAAATAGATTAGTCGTGTGACTTTATGGTTAGTTGTAGGGAAGAAATGTAATGAAACCTATATATGATAAATATAAATAAGAAATAAGATGAATATGAAGAAGTACAATTAAACATATATTGTGTGACTAGCATTTAGTATGATCTGCTTACAGAATTGAGGTTATAGGGTTTTTTAAAAGATTTTATTCATTAATTTATTTTGAGAGAGAGAGTGCAAGCAGGGGGAGGAGCAGAGGGAGAGGGACAAGCAGACTCCATGCTAAGCGTGGAGCCCGATGTGGGGCTTGAACTGATGACCCTGAGATCATGACCTGAGCCAAGATTGAGAGTTGAATGCTTAACTGACAGCCACCCAGGCACCCTGAGGTTATAGTTTTATATTGTCCTTAGAATTGTTCACACAGGGGCGCCTGGGTGGCTCAGTCGGTTGGGCGTCTTCCTTCAGCTTGGGTCATGATCCCGGAGTCCTGGGATCGAGCCCTGCATCGGGCTCCCTGCTCCGCGGGGAGCCTGCTTCACCCTCTACCTCTGCCTGCTTCTCCCTCTGCTTGTGTTCTCTCTCTCTGTGTCAAATAAATAAATAAAATCTTTAGAATTGTTCACACATATTTTTTACAATGCCAAGGAATATGTGTTTAGGTACAGTTATTCTAAAAGAATGACTTCTTTCAGAAAGGTAATAGTAAATTACCAAAAAGGAAAAAGGCATTTTCTTTTTTTGCAGGGTTTTCCCCTCTCTTTTTAAATTTTATTTTACCTTGTTCTAAAGGGGATTTAGGAGGTAAATGTTAACCACCATGGAATAAAATTTCTGCAAAAGGGATATGCTGTCCTTATACATATGGAAGAGGCAGTAAAGGGCTGTGGAAAGTTCAATTCCCTGCTATTCTCATTTCTACTACTTCATGATCATGTAACCTTGTTTCATCTATTAAGTGAAAATAAAACTATCCTTCCAGTCACCACACCTGGGTTGTGAAAATCAAATGGAACAATATTTATGAAAGAGGTTTCTAAACTCTAAAATTATATGTTAATATGAAGTGATAGTAGTATGATAATATTTATTCTAGAATAGGATGTTTGGAAAAGGCATTTTTCTCTAAGGAAAAAGCCATATTTCACTATTAGGAATGAACTGGCAACCACATGTTTGATATAGGTTCAAGCACATACGGCCTAGTAAATTTTGGAATCCTGTGTGGAAACCTCCAGAAGAGATTTAAAAAAAAAAAAAAAAAACATGGTATTAAAGAGATGGACATCAGACAATGCGTATAGGAAATCTGGGATCTAAAAGAAAAATGCAGATACTTAATGTATTTTTATTTCAAAATATATACCTTTCTACAGGTAAGTAACAATAGCTAGTTAACTCATTTGTTTAGTTCATAGCATTAATAGGGGTGCGGGGAGGCAATGAGTTTCAATTCCCAGACCAATTACCCAGAATGCCCTACCCACCTACTTGATTTTCGTAAGAGTTAAAATAAAATAAAAATAGATCAGTTCTTATCGAAAATATTAGAATAACTTAAAGACACACATTGCCAACAATTTGCACACTCCATTTTGTAACTCTCATACACTACCATAGGAATACAAACTACTACTTTTTGAGAAGTAATTTAGCAATTTTAACAAATTTAACACATTTTTTTAATTTGTATGCTTTTTAAATTTATATATCTTTTGAGGTAGCAGTTCCACTTACAAGCATTTGTCCTACAAAACTCTTTGCATAAGAATGCAAAGATATATGAACGAAGATGTTCAATGCAGCATTAATTTTACTGAAAAATTGGAAATAGCCTAAACATTCATCAAAAGGGGTTGGTTAATATGTACTGACTTGGGAGAATATCTACTATATAATAGGTTAAAAAATAAGTTATACAATATTATAATGTTATGTTATTCATATAAAGAAGTGTGTTTTGATATAAACATAGAAAACATCTAAAAGCATACCTAACAAGTTTAACAGTGACTGACTGCCTCTAGAAAGGAGAGTTTGGAGACGAGAATTAATGAGGGATTTTTAAAAAAAAAAAAATACTGTTTGCTACTTTTAATGAGGCTATGTTGTTTTCTTTCATAATTAGAAACAGCATCTTTTTGGAGGTTTTTGAACATATTTGCTAACTTCTTACCCACTTTACATTCTATGAATCAGAGAGAAACAGCTTAATTGAAACAAGGAAGAGTTGAAAATTAATATCTCTCCTTTTTCATTATGTCATATTTTCAGGCAAAGATTGGTCAAAATGAGGGAAGAGCACTATAATTGCTTATACTTGTTTACAAATGACCATCCAGTGATGCATGCTTCACTTTTTGAAACTATAATTTGTAAGAATGGCATTAATTATGTGTGCCTACCTAGGGTAATACAATATTGCCTAAGATATTTCACATTCCATGGTGAAAATGCTGTTTCAAATATTTTTTTCAATGATAGCCAACAAAAAAATGAGCATTATTCTTCTGTCTTAAATTTTTTTGCTGTTTTGTGTTGTTTCTTTTTTTTTTTTTAAAGATTTTATTTATTTATTTGAGAGAGAGAATAAGATAGAGAGAGCATGAGAGGGGGGAGGGCCAGAGGGAGAAGCAGACTCCCTGCCGAGCAGGGAGCCCGATGCGGGACTTGATCCTGGGACTCCAGGATCATGACCTGAGCCGAAGGCAGTCGCCCAACCAACTGAGCCACCCAGGCGCCCCTTGTGTTGTTTCTTAATATGGAAAGCTTCAGGGTAGAGGGAGGGTGAAGAAAACTTTACCAAAGATACTTAGATATTAAAGAAATAAGACTGAAAAGTGATAAAAATTATAACTAAAAATATTCATTTTAAACTGATACATTATTTCAGTCATTGTCTTTTTTTTGACTGGCATAAAACACATAAAATTGACCATCTTAATCATTTTTTTAAGACTTTATTTATTGGGGCGCCTGGGTGGCTCAGTCGTTAAGCGTCTGCCTTCGGCTCAGGTCATGATCCCAGGGTCCTGGGATCGAGCCCCGCATCGGGCTCCCTGCTCAGTGGGAAGCCTGCTTCTCCCTCTCCCACTCCCCCTGCTTATGTTCCCTCTCTCGCTGTCTCTCTCTGTCAAATAAATAAATAAAATCTTTAAAAAAAAAAAAAAGACTTTATTTATTTATTTATTTGAGAGAGCACAAGCAGGGAGAGGGTGGGCAGAGGGAGAGGAAGGAGCAGGTTCCCCACTGAGCAGGGAGCCCAGTTTGGGCTCAATCCCAGGACCCTGGGATCATGACCTGAGCTGAAGGCAGATGCTTAACCGACTGAGCCATCCAGGTGCCCCGACCATTTTAATCATTTCTAAACACACAGTTTAGTAGTGTTAAGTACATTCACGTTATTTTGGAAGCTGTCATTTTAATGGACTGGTTTTCAGCCAACTTCTTTGTGATCTATTTACTCATATTACTATGCATAGAAAGATTCTTAACTTCTATCATATAGACACAAAAAGTAAGTAGCTTTATACCAGCTGTATAATGCCATTAGTTAAATGTTTCATTCATAAACCCATCCTTAAAAGAATTGTAAAATAAAATAGTTTAGCTTTATGATAGTGTTTCTTCTAAATTTTTTTATAAATCAGAATTTTGAGGAAATATATATATATACATATATATATGGTTATCAGCAAACCAAACCAACCAGTCACTGCGCAAATTAGTAAAATGTAAAGAATTCTGAAAATTTTGCTAGAGGGAATCCAGACTTTAAGTTTGTTGTTAATCT